TCTATTAATCCTACACTACATGTGCTTCGGGTCTCACCCTGGTAGCTGAGACAAACCACCCCAACAATTGGCAGCACACCAGTGTTAGCCTTGGCAGGATAAATCTCCCCAGACTTACCCAATGGCTGTGAACATTCTAAACTAATACAAGTCTCATTAAGTGTCCAGTTTAAGGGTATTACACAAAAACACAATACAGGAACATTAATCAAATGTGTACTTTATTCATTTACAATAAATTCATAATGTACATATTTCTGATTGAAGCTAAGGACATACAAGTGTGTAACAAATATGGTCACACGTAGCCTGCTATGAGGGGAAATGAAAAAGAAAGTATAAAAATGGAAGTGAAATCTACCAAACCAATCTTAATTTTCTTGAGCAATTAAAAGCAAATTCCATTCAACAATAAATATATCTCAGTCATTTAATCTCCCCCGTATCTCAAAAAGAAATCTGGGGGCTGAACACTCTATTTTTATTATTTTCTATGATATAGAGCTATGGATATCAAACATGCATACACGTTCTATATATGCCCAGCATTATGTTGCTAGCAGATCTCCACTCCTTAATGCCCATCAACTACTTTGGCACATTTGGGACGTGTCTCAGGTGTCAAACACAGGTGGCAAAAAACAGTGGTGTGGACTGTGGAGTGCAATTAATGTGCCTAGCATTTTGTTCCTAGCAATCTCTACCTCATAATATCTCTATTGTCTGTATAAAAATAGTGTCAGCCTCTTAAAGTCTACTGCTATAACACTATTCTCTCTGGATATATATAAAGGGCTCCATGAGAGACATGATCAGCCCCAAGCAAACCCAGAAGAAGGACAACAAGAAGAGAGATGGCGTTCCATCAGTTGCTAACATTTGTCTTGATTTCTGTCCTTGTTTCACTGTCACTTTCCGACGACATTCCTCCGAACATAAAAACATGGTGCAGCCAAACACCCTATCCCCAATACTGCGAGGACTACATGGCTCACGACTCTCGTTCTTCCGGCCTCAAAAGTCACTCAGATTTCAAGAAATTGGCAATGCAAATTACCTTGGACCAAGCAATCCAAGCTAAAAGCAATAACAGGTTGCATGAGCCCAAGTTCAGCAATGGGCGTGAGAAGGCTGCATGGGCAGACTGCACTGAGCTCTACCAGAACACCATAGCTCGACTCAATCTCACTGTCAACCCTTGTGCCATGTGCACTGATTATGATGTGCAGACATGGCTGAGCACGGCTCTCACCAACCTCGAGACATGCCGCACCAGTGTCATGGAGCTTGGTGTCTCGGACAACATCTTCTCTCTTGTGTCAAATAATGTCTCCAATTTAATTATCAACGCCCTTGCAATCAACAAGCCACCGCCCAAGGAAGAAACATTTGACGATGGCTTCCCTACTTGGGCATCGCCCAGAGATCGAAAGCTGTTGCAGATGGAGAGAACTTCTCTGGCTTGGAAGGCAGATCTTGTGGTGGCACAAGATGGGTCAGGGAACTTCAAGACTGTTAGTGAGGCAATCAACGAAGTGGCAAAGTGGAACCCGTCCGGGGTGGGGCCAGGCCGCAGGCATGTTGTACATATGAAGGCAGGGATATATCAGGAGCATATGCAGGTTTACACCCCAAATATGATGTTTACCGGTGATGGCATAGGAAAGACTGTAATCACCGGAAGCATGAGCGTTGGGGGTGGCGCCACCACTTTCAATTCTGCTACAATTGGTGAGTTCAACCAGCTTAATTTCCTTTAATTTGTTAGGTTAAGTTCATCTGTTCTTGCTTAGATGTAAAGCTTAATTAAACTGAAATAGGCCTGTCCAGGGTTGGATTCAGAACATCTACGGTATTTGATGTTGTGATTCACGAGAAGATGCTGTCAATGCATGGCTGCTATGCGCTGTGAGGTGCTCTCTCTCACAAAACGTGCACTGTGCATTGCAACAGGCATGCATTGAGAACATCTTCCATCGCAACAGCAATGCATGGCTGGGATGTCCTGTGAGGTTGGTTTGAGGTACACTCTCTAAGGAGAAAATCCAAAGTCTAATTGTCAATGGTTTCTTTGGCCACCTTAGGTTTGCTCCTCGCAGAGGGCCCCTTTACCAACCTCACAGCACTTGCCTCTTCTATTCAAGAAAATTGGGCTCATGTCTCAGTGGGCATTTTGGTCACCCCAACTTTTTTGAATGGAAGAATCAAGGATTTGCGACTGTTCATTTTTTTATCAATATTTGGATGGTTAATAAAAAAAAATTAGATGACATTTGAAGGGTATTTGTGTCTTTTCAAATGTCACCTAACGACTGGTTAACGGTAAGTATTGCATTGACACATTTTGAAAGTTCAGGTACTGAATTGTCATGTTTTAAAGTTCGAGGACTAAAGTGGCACTAAACCCAAAGTATAGGGTACTAATCCAGAATTTTCCCTAAATATTATTTAGTTCACTCAATAAATAAAACCATTGTTTTAAAAATTGACTGGGAGGCTGAATAGTTTTTGCCTTTAGCCTTTTAGGTCATGTGGGTCAACGGTTCAATTATTTGGGTTGGTCAAATCAAACAATGATACATCATCCACTGTATATGTATAATATGATATAATATAATTACATTTTGTGTGTATATTATTTTAGGTTTATTTTGTACTTTCATTTTAATTTTTATTTTTTTATAAATAAAAGAGTTGAAAATTGAAATTTGAGACTACAAAGTGAGTTTTTTTTTATAGTGAGGTTGCAAAAATCTTGAAAAATTACCCAAAATGAAAAAGATCATCCCAATTAGATATATAACTGAGCACAAAGTTATATCCTCTAGAAGTTTTCAATACATTGTATATTGTAACCCATGACCCAATGACTAAATCAAAAGGATCAATGGTTCAATTGTCTAGGTTGAATGGGTTTTGGCCAAATCAACAGTTTTTGACAAAATAGTAGGGTTTAGGAAATCTAGAATTAAAAATAAAGCCAAGTGATGGTTCAAATGGTTTAACCATCTAAGTCAACAACGAGTTGAAAACATTGAATAAAATATCATAAAAATTATAATCTATTTATATTCCATTTGATTTAAAAGAAATTAATTAACCATAGTAAAAATAATTTATTAAATACTTAAATAAGATAAAAAATATTAATTATTATTGATAAAAATATTTATATTAATATAATAAAAACAAATAAATGAACAAAATGTAATAAGATTAATTAAAAACTAATTATCCATATAAATTTAATATAAAACTAATACAAAATTATCTAACAATTATTAGTTTTATATTATTTTTTACTAATGAACAAATTCCATTAAAAAATGTAATATAATTCATTAAATTTAATAAGGATTAATAAAAATTCATTAACCTTTGATATAGTTTAGTCAAATTAAAATCAACTTCTATTTAGAAATAGGAAAAATTATAAAAACCTCCTTGTGTTTTCTAACAATCCTATGAACCTCCCCTATATATGTTTTGACCTTAACAAAATTCCCCCATATTGTTTTGAAAAATGTGCAGATATTTTCCTTTGGTTAACATCCGAAATAGAAAAATGTTCATGTAATGCATTAATTTTCTTTAAATACCAAATTTACCCTTAACCAACTTTATTCAGAAATACTTATAAACCAAAAAATATTTTGTTAAAAATATTCTTACCTAAAAATATACAAAAATAATTATAAACCATAAAATTTTAAACATTAATAAAAAAATTTAACATCAAAATACAAAAAGAAATATAAATTTATCTAAAGCATAGCATATTAGCCAATCTCACTAAAGTCCAACTTGAATTATGATCAATAAACTAGATAACCCCAAAAAATTCTAGAATAAACTAGACATAAAAGCTGTGCATGCCACAGGTCTCGACGACTAGTACCAATGAAGGGGAATAACATTGATGATTATGACTACGAGGCAGAAACTACACCATAAATTAAGGTGAGAGAGAAGATATCTAGTTAGAGGGGAAGTATGCAATGACTGAGATTCCATCGAACTATGAGTGGAGTCGGGGCTGAGGCTTAGGAAGCCTTTTGGAGTTGATAAGCCGAAAAGCTTGTGCAAAATCAAAGGAGAGTAAGTTGGGACAAGGGGAAGATCAAAACTCTGAGAGTGATGATTCAGGTTGCTGGTCATTATTGATGGTTTAGATTGTTTTCCTGCTGGGTGTAGGAGGTGTATATGGATAATACTAATAACAAAGTGAGAAAACAAACAAAAGAAATGCACCCAGATTATAGAAAAGCAAAAAAATTTGACTGACTTCAAAGCTTGTGCAAAATCAAAGTTTAAATTGGGACCAGCTAAAGACTAAAGCTCTGGGAGTGACGATTCAAATTGGTCATTTGACATATGGTTTAGATTGTCTTCCTGCAGGGTATAGAAAAACAAAAAAGTTTGGCCGACTCCTTTCAAGATGTGGTGGTGAAAATTCAAACCGGAGGAGTTAGTAGCTTCCGGAGAAGGGATAGAGGTGGCATGAGAAGAAAGGTCACTGTGTAAAGGTTGTTGAGCTGGTTTTGGGAGTACTCCATGGTTCAAAGTATTAATACATCTTTGTGTGTGACAGAGGTGTATCCAACTTTAAACAATAGTTGTTTTATTTAAAAAAAAAAAAAAAAATGGATTCTCGAAAACACGGGGTTTCATGGTGGGTTTTCATTGTTTATTGGTTGTTCTTAGTTTGGTGGCGTTTCTGGTATAGTTTTGGCCCTAGTGTCTGTTGTTGTTGCTTTGGTAATTTTGCGTATTAATGATATATATTGTTCCGAAATGAAGTTAGTTAGTTTTTCCAATTCTCTGAAATAAAACTTGATTTCAGCGGTTATGGGAGATGGATTCATCGCTCGCGACATCACATTCCAGAACACTGCCGGACCGCAGAACCACCAAGCAGTGGCGCTTCGTTCGGGGTCGGACGCCTCAGTATTTTACCGATGTAGTTTTGAAGGATATCAAGACACTCTCTACGTCCACTCTAACAGGCAATTCTACAAGCAATGTGATATTTACGGTACAGTTGATTTCATATTTGGAAATGCAGCTGCTGTGCTACAGGACTGTAACATCTATGCCAGAAAGCCCATCGCCGGCACCGTCGTAGTAACAGCACAAGGTCGACTTAACGCCAACCAGTCCACCGGAATTGTGATCCATAATTCTCGGATAACAGCCGCTCCGGACCTAAAGCCGGTGCAGAGATCAGTCGAGACGTACCTTGGAAGGCCATGGCAGCTGTATTCTCGAACTGTAATCCTCAAGACGTTTCTTGATAGCTTGATCAATCCGGCCGGTTGGATGGAATGGAATGGAACTTTTGCTCTGAATACATTATACTATGGGGAGTTCCAGAACACAGGCCCGGGTTCGTCCACAGCCAACCGAGTGAAATGGGGTGGCTATCATGTCATAACTAGTGCAGCTGAAGCATCACAGTTCACCGTAGGAAACTTCATAGACGGTAATTCATGGCTACCAGACACCAATGTGCCATTCACCTCCGGCCTTTGAATGCTCTAACGAGTAACGAGAGCTTTAATTAGAAACCAATTACCAGATTACACATTAGAGGAAATCATCACAACACTAAACGGGGTGGGCTCTACAACATTAAAGCTTTCCTTCTTTATGAATGAATGATAATAATTAGGCAAATTTCTTAAAGTATACCTAATTGATAAACTATATCTTTGCTGTTTATATATTGTCTTAAATCACTCCCCTACTATTTCTAACAATTGATTAACTCTATCCTTATCATTACTATCCCTTAATGTTCTCTCAAAATACCACGTGACATATAAATTTTTTAAAACCCAATATTACCATCCATCCCTTTATTATAAGCCACATTGCCGTAACCTCATATTCAACCAGTACCCTCTTGTTCGCTTACTCCCTTCTTTTCTAAATTCTCACTACAGGAAAGCAAAGTGAAAGCCATCGATCCAAGCTTCAGTTCTCCATGAACTCATAAGCCAGGAGTCTTGATTTTTCACCGGAAATACAACACATTAACTTCACAATGTTAGAGTGTCGGATTGTCCCCAATATCTGAACCTCTGTCTAGAATTAGAGGTGTAAAACGGGCCGTGCTGGGCCAATATAGCACGGTCCACATGCAGCCCACGCAAAGTGCATGTCAAGCCGTGCCTCCCTCCCTTGGGATATTTTGGGGGGTCGGCCCGGCATGGCCCATAGGCCAGGTTGGTCCATGGGCTGAGCCTTGGGCCAAGCCAGGCTGTGGACTGGGCCAAAGTTATTTATTTAAAAAATGAAAATTAAACTTGAAACTTTAATTTTATATGAATTTTGATGTATACAATAATTAAATAAAATAGTATAATAAATTTGATAAAAATAGTTTATTTTATTAATATATTTTATACTATATATTATTATATAATTATAATTTATATAATATATTATCTATTATATACACATAAATATATATAAATATATATATATATATAATTTAAATATATAAAATATATATGGGTTAGGCCAGGCTATGCTAGCTCGGGACCACAAGCGGCCCGACACGATAGTGCGGGCTGTGTCAGCCCGACCCACTGACTTGAAACCCCAAGCCCAGCACACCCATCAGCCCGTACAATAATGCCGGGTCGGGTCGGGCCATAGATGGCACGGCCCGATTTACACCTCTACTTGGAATTTTTCTACAACTTCTCATCCAATTTGTTATCCCAAATCCTTTTAAGGGCAACAACCTCACCACCGGACTGCCCGATGGGGACTCGATAAACTTTCCATGTCCACCCAAAGACGGTCCCTCCTTGGGTAGACGAACCTGCTTGGAACCCTAGGACAATCAGTACAACAGAGACAACCAAACATGACTTTCATTTGCCATAGCCAAACATGGTTTGGGGGTTGTGATCGGAGAGGTTGAGGGGTTTGGCCCCTTCCTGAGAGACCTCTAGACTTGGAAAACTATACCATGCAACGTAAAGAAGCTGGGGATCCTAAGTAAGACTGAGCTTCTAAATCCAATGGAATCATCCATGTGAGTGCAAATAAGATCTCCTCTAGCACATCGGTGTTCTTCTCGAATGAGGCCGCAGCGAAAGCCTCGAATGTTGCAGCCAGAACATGCCCCGTCCCATTCGCCACGGTGCACCGCTTATTGCGCTCGCTTTCCTTCCCTAGGTTCTTGATCTCCACCACCAATTCCTGGCACCCAAATTGGTCCCATGTCGACCTGCATCCGTAATCCTCGAAAGAATATGTGAGACCTCAAATGGGGTTACACGAATTCGAGGCGGCAGTGATGATTCTCGATGCACCAGTCATGTATCATCTTCCGTATGACATGATTTGGTATCTGGTCCAAACTTCTCAACACTTGATTGGTAACCAGGCATGTTGGATTCCCAGACTCAATCCATGTCTCAATGCTCTCACGGTTGTAAGAGATGTCGGTGGATAACGTGATCGGATCCTTCATCAGCTCAAGCGATATGGACCATTGGAAATGAGTCAGAATAGTGACCTCCATGTCGAGGTTGCCTTTTTGGTTACTCCTGGTTCTTGCTAGCACGGTGACCAGTTCTTCTTCCCCTTCGTTCTCTCCCCTGTTTCATCACCGCCGCTGCAACTCATTGCAGCAATCGACTCCTCCACCTTTGGTCCCTCTCCCCTATTTCATCCCTACGGCCTTTGGTTTGGACGGGTTCCTCCCTCACCTCTTCCCCCATCCCATCTCTATCTCAGTCCTTGTCTGTGGCTTGGATTCCGCCACATTTTCAGCCATCGCAGAAGCTAGAGATGAGAAGAAAAATGGGTACCTTTGAGACATCTTGGTGAGGCGCCAGATTTCTCTGAAAGCTTGAATTCTGGAAATTGGGTCGTCGGATGTGAACATAGTGTGAATGGATTTCTCTACCCACCTTAATGCCATATCTTGCTCCGATCTACTTACACCGATGAATAATTAGACAACCTTAATCGCTTTTCTTGTATCGTTGTCGAAGGTAGTGGAGGTTGTTGGACGACCCTGAGCAAGTGGTGGGTGATCTTGTATCCATAAAGGTGCTTAGGAGAGTGGCTGGATAGCCTGGATCAGTGTCGAGCCATCTCGGGGAAAGGGAAGCAAATATAAAGGTTGGACAGGCATGCTTGTTGCCATGTACCGATGACAGTAAACCAGTGATCGGGGAGGTTCCTAATGTCAAGGGCGAGTAAGCCACCGGCTTTTCAAGCACAAATTGCACAAACATTGGCCAGTGAGATGGGGAGAAGGAAGTAGTTGCTTCTGCCACACCGCAACATCCATCCTCAATCAGATCCCTACTGGTTTCTCAGATATTACAAAACCATATGCCGCATTACCAGAAGCAGCAACTCGTTTTCAGACAAGAAGCTTCTAAGTAAAACGTGGAGTAGTTGTTGCTAAGTTTCAATCCACTGTTCCCGTATAATATTTTTTTTTTCATAAAACCCTCTAAAAGGTGTTATATTTATGCATGAATAACTCATTTGTATCTTATATTTAGTAATATTAATATTTATTTATGATTTATTAAAGTATTTATACGTATCTTAATTTTCCGTTTGTATCTATATGTATCCAAGGCATATCCCGTCTCTTCAATTTACCTTTAACATACCCATAACGTTTTTGATACTTTAAACCTTGGGTATGGACTAACTTTGGTTTTCTTTTTCTTTTGAGCAAATTAATCACTCTTAGACTTCAGCCCATGTTCTCACACTTGTAAGCCAAAGATTTTACCAACGCATTAAGTAATTGCAACTTCAGCCTTCCCTCACTCCTTGTCCAATTAAAAAAATAAAAGGCTGGTAAATAAAATAGGACTGTAACAAATAAGTCCCAAGACACAAAGTGGACCCAACACAATACATCAGCCACTCTACTTAAAACTTGCTTACATTCTAGAATAACTTACTATAAGAGATCTATAAATCCAAAAAAAAAAAGTAGAAATTAACCATAGATATGTAGATTTAGCAAAATATATGTTGCCCTCAAACCCAGATTTAGGGAAAAAAATAAATATTTCAACCAATAATAGATTTTTTTTTTGTGTGCTCATCAACTTGTACCATATGTTTTTTCAAGCTGTAAAGGGCACCTAGCTCGAGATTGCAGCAGATTACTATGAACCCCACATGATAAAATCTCAGTTTCCATGGAACTATTGCAGGTCCTAGATTTAGGCCCTATTTATCTTATTTCTTCTATTTATTCTTCATGCTCTTTTCTAAATTCTCACTACAAGAAAGAAAAGTGAAAGCCATCGATCCAAGCTTCAGTTCTCCATGAACTCATAAGCCAGGAGTGTTGATTTCTCACCGGAAATACAACACATTAACTTCACAATGTTGGAGTTTCGGATAGTTCCCAATATCTAAACCTCTGTTTGGAATTAGAGGAGTAAAATGGGCCATGCTGGGCTGACATGGCATGGTCCGCATGCGGCCCATGCAAAGTGCAAGTTGGGCCGTGCCTCCCCCCCTTGAGATATTTTGGGGGGTCAGCCCGGCATGGCCCATGGCCCGAGCCCGCGCGGGCCCATGCCGGGCTTGGCCAGGCCATGGGCTAGGCTGGTCCATGGGCTGAGACTTAGGTCAGGCCAGGCTGTGGACCGGGCTAATGTTATTTATTTAAAAAAATTGAAAAATAAAAATAAAATTTTAATTTTATATAAATTTTGATGTATACAATTGTTTATATATACAATAATTAAATAAAATAGTATAATAAATTTGATAAAAAAATATTTTATTAATATATTTTATATAATTATAATTTATATTATTTGAACAAAGAAAAAATAATTCAATAGAGCTCCAAAAAAGTACCCACAAAATGCTTAAAGATCCGAACTAGTTGTTTCTCAATTATTTATTTCCACATTTTGAGTTAATTATGGATTGCCTTTTTCTTTTTGAAACAGTAACTTTCATTAAAGATATCAGTTAAACAATGTACACTGTCAATCACTCAAATATGAGTGTTAACCCCTATCAGCTTCAAGAATTACAATACAGCCCAAAAGAAATTTTCCCTAAGGTCCCCTACTTTGCCAAACTATCTACCACTAAGTTGGCTGACCTCCTTACCCATTTGAATAATACCCCAGCATCCCTTGCAAAGTAGATTATTTCCCTTATTTGTTCTCTAAAAGTTCTTACACCCAAACTTTTTGTCTATAACCACCCTATTAACAGTTTAGAATCCCCTTCCGCTTCAAAGTTCTAAAATCTCCTTTACTTAGAAAATCTCAGGCCTTGTAGGAGAGCCAAAATTTCAGCTCTGAAAGAACCACCCACTCCTATGGGACTAGAATATAGTGTCACCATTCTGCCCTCCCCATTCCTGAAAACTCCCCCAGCTCCAGAGGGTCTTGGATTACCCAAAGAGCTTTCATTAATGTTTAATTTTACCCTTTGTTGTGCTACAGGTGTCTGACAAGGCTAAAATAGAAGTTTTCTAGTTGAGGAATTTGCCATTCCTAACCACCCCCCAAGTATATCATCCACTGAAAAGTCCTTGAATAAGCCACTAACTTTCAACCAGTGTATAACTTTGATGGCTACACAGTCAATGACTTGTTCTGTTGATTTTTGTACCCCTTGTAAAATTCTGCTATTTCTTTCCTCCTGTAAAGACCAAAGAATGGCCGCTCTTGTTGCCCTCCACATCACTTTACCTCTTTTCTTTGATAGTAATAAGAAGCTTGGGTTAAAGAGGCTTGCCACATCCAGGGGAGGGGTCCACTTTACACCTTTTCTTTGGTAGTAAGAAGAAGCTTGGGTTAAAGAGGCTTGTCGCATCCAAGGGAGGGGTCCACCTACAGCCAAATAAGGATGAAAACCAATTCCCCACAAAAGAAGCAAAAGGGCAAAGGCAACAAGCATGTGAAGATAGGCAGTGATTCAGCCTCCTTTTTTGTAAATTGCCCAAAGTATTGATTTTTTGGAACACCACCTCCCAACAAAAAGCTCTTATTTTTGGAGGTATAGGATTACACTAGACCTGTTCATGGGCCGGGTCGGGCCGGGCTTTCACTCTGTATTAACATATTTTTCTAAGGCCCGACCCGAACCCGGCCCGACCAATGGGCCTACAACTTGGGCCCGAGCCCGACCCTCATAAAAAGCCCAAAGCCCGAGCCTGTGCCCGAGCTCGAAATTTATCCCATGTTGTTACTACTATTGAAGTGGCTGAATAGAGAATGAGAGAGAAATTATAAAGAAAAATAAAATAAAAAATGTATATTTTAAATTATAAATATATATATATATATTTCAATAAATATTATATYATTTATATATTTTATATAATATATAAAATACATATTATGTATTTTATAAAATATATAATGCTGAGTCGGGCCGGGCCAGGCTCAGGCCGGGCTTTTTTGACAAATCCTGAGCCCGACCCATAACACAGTCGAGCTTACTGTGTTAGGCCCGAGGTCAGGCCCATAGGCCTAATTACATGACCAAGCGCGACCGGGGTGCGGGCCAGGCCATCGGGTTACCCGACCCATGAACAGATCTATATACACCAAACTTTCTCTATAAGAAAAGAACCTATTGGGTTCGATGAATGAAGGAGGGTGGAGAAAAAAGAAGCACAAGTAAATGAGCCAGAAGGGGACACCGACCAAGAAGGGAGATGAGATAATCTACTATGCCTATTTCAGATTCCCTTTACCCTAGGACTCAGAAGTTTCCATTAACATGCACAGAAGATATCACTCTCCCTTTATTGAGGGATAAGGAATAGAGAAGTGGAAATCTATCTTTAAAAGGAGTGTCCCCAAGTCAAACATCCTCCCAAAAACGTACTTTGTTACCAGCACAAGCATCATACCTGACCAGCGGAAGGAAAGAAGGTAGCGAAATATGAATTGCTTTTCAAGGAGAAGTAGGGGTGTCAACAATATTCGAAAATCCGATTTCGAATTCGATATTTGACATAATCAAATAGAATTCAGATAATTCAAATATCTAATCGATTGAATTCGAATATCCTATTCTTACCAAATAATTAATCGGATTCGAATTCGGATATGACCTTATTCTATTCGATAAATATCCGAATTCAGCCGATTATTTAATTCTTATATATAATATATAAAATATTTTATATAATTTATATATAATAATTAAGTTATATAAATAATTTATATATTTATATATTGTATATCAATAATATATTTATTTTATATATTTATTAATTATCTAAAATAATTAATTAATTGAATCCGAATCGAATCGAATATTCAAATATTTAATCGGATTTGAATTCAGATATTAATTCTCTTTATCCGTCGGATATCGAATCAAATTTGGATATCGGAATTTCTAAACGAATTCAAATTCAGATATTGCTTGGTCCGATTCGAATCCGATCTATTTACACCCCTAAGGAGAAAACCGTGTTGCCCTAGGATCAAGACCATCCCATCCATTGTCTGTCATGCCATGAATGCTTGCAATTACAGAGTATCATAAGTTCTCTTTTTCCAAAGGAAACCTCCACAACCATTTACCCAATAGTGTCAAATTCCTCAGCTTGATGTTTCCTATTCATAAGCCTCCACTATCCCTACTCTTTGACACCACCTCCCACTTTACCAAATGATCATTTTTTGTATCCCTTAGCTCCCACAAGAAATCTCTCATCAATTTCTTCAGATTATTGGCCACTTTTGTGGGGATCTTAAAAGGTTGAGAGGTAATAGACTGGCAAATTAGTCAAGGTTGATTTTATTAAGGTTATTCCACCCCCTAGAGAGATGTAGTTTCTCTTCCAACCTACAAGCCCTTTTATAAACCTTTCCACTACCAGATCCCAAAAGCTATCAGAATTCAGGTTCACCCCCAAGGGAAGTCCAAGGTACTGTAAAGGCCAATCTCCTACCTCACAACCCAATAGTCTAGCTAGGCTTTCTACCTCCCATCTCTTTTCATTTAACCTTGCTACACAACTTTTGCTCCAATTTACTCTAAGATTGGAGACCTTTTCAAAAAGTGTTACCAACCTTTGTAGAATAGTCATTTCCTCCCATTCCCCTTCACAAAAGATAACAACATCATCTGCAAACTGCAGATGGGTAACCACCACATCATTCCCCCTAACTCTCCAACCTTGTAGCATGTTGTTCGCATCAGCCCTTGATATCAAATCACTAAATACATCTTCCATTAGAGTGAAAAGGAAGGGAGATAGGGGGTCACCTTGTCAAAGGCCCCTTTTAGCTGGAAAGAAGTCTTTAGCAACTCCATTGACCAATATGGAATAATGACAGAAGGATATACAAACCTTTATCCATTTACACCACCTCTCTCCAAAGCCTCTCAATCTTAAGACTTCTAGAAAAAAATCTCAATCCACCAAATCACAAGCTTTCTCCAGGTCCAACTTACACACTAGCCCTTTTTCCTTTCTCCTCTTTTTAAACTCCACACTCTCATTTGCAATGAGGATTTGGTGTATTATCTGTCTTTTAAAAACAAAGGCCCCTTGATTGGGAGAGATTAGAAAGGGAAGGACTTTTTTATCCTCTAATTATGGATCGCCATATTGTATCTCAACATTGAAGAAAAGGCAGAATTGAATCTTCCGTCGAACAGACAAGTTGCGTCATAATCACATAGGTCCAACTCCAACCTGATAGATTTCCAAAATTCAATAACCCAAAGGTCAAAGGATCTTTATTAAAAACAATATGAATGGTGTTACAACAAGGAGTTAATGATCTATAATAAAAAAGAAAAGAAGGAACATAATGTACAACCTGAATTTTAAGCAGTAGAAAAGCGCACTTTTGTTAGAAAGTATTTTTCTGCAACACTGGGAGCATATGAAGAAATCATTCTTGAAATGCATAAAATTTTACTACAAATTGAACTTTTTTTCTTCTTTTTTGGAATAGTTGCAGCTTAGCTAAATAAGGTGAAAATAGACTACCTTTAAATTAATAATGGAGGGATCAGCATTATCCTCAAAGCAAAATGCATGTCCCAGAAGCAGTAAATCTAATGATGATTTAATAAGATTTATCCTAGATTGAATGGAACCTAATTTTCACTTAGAACCCTTGATTGCTTCAGCCTCGTACATAAAAGAATAGATGGACTTCTATTTCAGGGAAAAAAAACTCAAAAGATCCCATTTTATTGTGTCAATGGACACCAAAACTAATGTGGGAGCTCTATGGTACAAAGGAATGACTTGAATTTTAAAAGGAAAAATGCCTTTATGAAGAACTTGGGATTTCTATTTCTAGAATTTAATACAACTTCAAAAATTAAAAAGTGCTCCTACCACGATTTCTCAGTCAGCATATTTTAGACAATGTGTGCCTCAGCCAATGATAAATTAAGGTCTTCTCTAGACTGTGATCTTCTGCTTTGGAGGCACATCTGACTTCTGCGAGGGGCCCAAAAGGAACCTTTTCCCCCATTGTCAAACTGCATTTGCCCCAAGCTACCTGAGGAATAACTATGTGAGATGCCGCTGGTTGGTGAATACAAAGAAGACTCCATGAGCTGGATGCTACTGCCTCCTAAACCATGTCCTAAACCAAAAGGCCTCTGCCGGGACTGTGGAATGGTAGGACTCAATGGCAACTTTGCCCTCCCATCTCCTGAAAGAACACAATTGAGATTGATTTAAAAGCCTGACTTTGAATGAAGAACTTGTTACAACTGATTGCAGAATGCATGCACATGCATGTGTTAAAACAAGCAAATAATCTTTGGTAAAATAAATGAATAAATAGTGTAAAACAAAAGATGGGTGTGTTTTCATGTAATATAGACCACATATGAGTTCTACTCATAACAAAGAGAAATAAACCCTGACAGAAGGTTTGATAAAAAGGGCAGCCCAGTGCACAAGGCTCCTGCCAATTTGGGTTTTGGTGAGGGACAGATGTAACAGCCTTACACTTGCACATATAGAGAGGCTGTTACCAAGATTTGAACCCTGGTCACCTAGGTTGCAATGGAGCAACCCAACCATTGCACCAAGGCCCAATGGAGCAACCCTGACACGAGGTTTGATATGATCACCTGAAATTGTCTATTTTGCTTCAGATATGGTCTGGTCCTTGCATTTCAAGTATGAATTGTAGAATATTAGCATTAACATGGTCATTGAAAGCATGAAAGGACAAAAAGCTTCATGATGGATGTTCATTGCAATTTCAAATAAATTAGTAATGATTCAAAAGTGTTGAACAAAATTTCCCCGGAACCGACCCCAGAACCACCAAGGCCAGAACTGACCCTGAAACCAGGGTAGGTTCCAGTTCCAAAAAATCCTAGAACTGACCCCCCTATAGGTTCTAGGTTCTGCTATGGAACCGAACCGAACCGACCCATGCTCACCCATACATCCTATCATATATTACTTATATTATTTATGTTTTGTTTAATGATTTCAAAATTACTTACAAAAAAATGATTTCAACATTGAAACATAAGATCTAAGGGCTTTAGGAAGAGAAAAAGAAAGAAAAGGATGGAGTTTTCATGTTCTTTTTTTTTTACAATTCTTCTCTCTCTCTCTCCACTTCTTGTTGAGAAAAAGGGTACTTCTATAATTGATTTTGGTATTTTGTGTCTAATGATGGATTCCCTGGAGTTTTCTTGTTATAAAACCTTTTTTTATAGGGATTAAGAATTTAAGACCTTAATATGGGCTTATTTGGGCTTGCCTCAAGGGGCTTGGTACAAAGGTGGCTCATAGAATCAGGAATGCATAACGTTTAATATCACATTAGCTATTTGAAATAATGCAATTGAGGAGAAGAATAAAGAGTTTACATGCTTGAATATGTTTTATATGTTATTATTGATTTTATTTTTAAATTTTCATTTTAAATATGTTTTACATGTTATGTTTATATTTGAGATATTTTTTTAAAACATTTATTTTAAAATTTAAGTTTATACTTTTAATTAATAATGTGTTTAATATTTTGTATTTTTTTTTTGAAAATTTTGGCTTTTTTTAATTTTTTAGCTTTTTTTTTTTGCATTTTTGCACCTTGCTTCAAAAAGGCGTGTGCCTCGCACCTCGAGCAAAAAATGGCCCTTGCGCTTTTAAAACACTGGCCAAAAGAAACATTTGTTTGACTAGGAAAAAAAAAAGAAATCTATTTGTGGAACTTGTTCTTTCTTTACTCTCCCCCTTCAAAAAAAGAAAGAAACATGTTCTTTAGAAACTTGATATATAATACATAGTTTAAAACTTATATTACCTTTACTGATTAAATTGAGTAATTTAATATGTAGATTATCATAATATATTAATATATGGTTCAAAACTTATAATTGTAATTTCGATTTTGTAAGTATCACATTTTACATTACTTATTATACACATTCAAATATTAAAATGGAAACAAATGATCAGATCACTTGAGTGTTTGGGTTCATGTGAGACCATGGCCTTTGTAACCATGATTGTTTGGGTTCAAATATTCACATCCTCAAAAGTATGTTGGGGTTTATTTCAAGGCAAGTTCAGTTCCAAGGCCAACCAAGGCTGGTTCATTGGATCAATTCGGGTAGGGTAGACCCCTAGACCCTAGAACCAAGTAAGGACTAATCTAAGGGAGATTGGCAGTCTAGCTAAAGGATTGGGAGCAACTTTTCACAAGCTGCACACTAAATGCATATGTAAACTTCCAGATGCCATAACTTTGCACTTAGATGTCTGATTGGGGTGATCTTTTTTTTTGGGTAACTTTTCAAGATCTATGTGTCCCAAGGTGCCAAAGATGCCTTGCCCTACTATTTTCACCAAAACCCCCTTTGTTGACCTCAAATCCTAATTTTTAACATTGTTTACAAATAAAAACTGAAATAAAATTTATAACTTAAACATAATGGACCGGATATCAATTGGACCGGATTTGTTCCAATCCAATCCAGTCCAATATGAGTCCATTACAGATGGACCAGGTCCAATCCAATCCAATGAATATTCTGAACCATTTTGGATCAGTCCAATTCAATGTCTAGACCATCAATTCTGTTCAAATTGGTTTTGATTTAGATTGGTTTCAACACAAACCTGGTCTATTGACACCTGTATCCTTATCTTCTAGAATGGACCGGATATTTGTCCAATCCAACCCAATCCAATATAAATCCATTACAGATGGACCAGGCCCAGTCCAATCCAATAAATACTTTGACCATTAAGTCTGGACAGGGTCCAATCCAAAACCAGTGGTCCATTGATACCCCTACTAAGAACCCTAGGAGCGATTACCAGGCTTATCTTCTTTCTCTCTCTCTTCTTGTCTTTTTTTTTTTATATATCAGCAACACAAATGAAAATTTCATTCAAAAGTAAAAGAAAGTACAACAAGAGGTTGTGGTTACATTCAAGGAAGCTTATAGCCTCAGCTATGCCACCCCCATACAAATTACTTTAAAGCCCAGAAAAGTTGTTGTCTATTAACTCCCATCTTTTCCTTCTGATTTTCAACCTGTACATCCTTTGAAAACCATTTAAACTTCTGATTTTCTTTTCCTTTTTGTTTTTTTTTTTTTCTTTTCTTGTCTTCTCTCTCAAAGTTTTGAGCTCAGCCACTAACAGCAATCAAGTATGTGAGACAAGCAATCAGAACTCAGAAGCTATCATTCAACATTGATTAAAGGACTGAATTTGATCCCAAGCAAGTCTCTAAATCCACACACCATAGTTTTCAAGGCACCAATGGGAGGCTAGGTGATGGATTTTTTTAAGTAAAAAACATATATCCTAGGGTAGTTCCCTAGGTTCCATAACCATATTTCCTTAATAATTATCCATAATTTTCATAAGAAAAGTATAAAGTTCATGCTAAAGTATAGAAAATCAACATATTCATGAGAAGAAAAAGAAGAAAGAAAAGAAAATTCAAAAAGCATAGGGGCTGAACCCCTATTTTTGTTATAGGAAAAGAAGAAAGAAAAGAAAATGTGTTGATTAGACAAAATCCGATCTAGGTGCAGAATAAGAACACCACTCTTCATCTAGAATTCCCTTTCCCTTCTAAGTAAAGATGATTTTATAAATTAATAACAAATAGACAACTAAAATTCTTAAGCATATAACAGGTATTATATAAAATATAAAATACCATATACATTTTTTTTTGAGAAGGTAATCCTTGTAACACCGAGTGAAAGGATCACAAATTCTGTCATGGAGTTTACCTGAACTGATAGGACTCCAGCGCTGAAACCGGAACGGAGATGGAATACTAAGAACAGAGGTAGCAGTCCCACTGTTATGCCTGAAAAGTGGGAGATGGGTCCTGCGGAAAAATCTTGGCATCCAATTGCCAACACATGATAAAGCACAAACAAAAAGGACCAATGAGATAAAAACTAGAACAAAAAGAAGGGGTAGATTTATCTTCATTTGAAGTATCCGATAGTTGTGGAGCTCCATCCTAAGAAACAATGTTCCACCAGCTTCCAATAAAGCAACACCAAGTGTCCAAGTAATACTACCAGAACCAATAATCACTTGGCTATCCGTAATGTGTAAACCATCTCTCAAAAGAGATACAATATATGGTGCCCTAAAGCAATACTGTTCTATGAAAGGCTGTGGCACAACACTGTTCTTTGCAACTTCCCATGTTCTTTCACAGAATTCCTGGCCTTTCTGCAGTACATCATCAAGAGTGACGTCTGAGGTCAAGTTAAAAAAACGAAAAACCACAAAGAATCCAGACATGGCATAGAACTGCCCATTTGGGCGAGGTAAACTATCACTAAGAGCACAAGGTTGCAGATCACAGTCCATGCCTTGATTTAAATCAGACCATTCAGACAAATTAACAGCAACTTTTGCAAGTGCACCACATTTTTCCCATTGTGGAGCCCCAATCAGGTTGACAGATGTTCCAGGTTTTCCTTTCTTCCCCATACTGCTTCCATCCATCAGAGGGCTTCCACTCTCGTCATTTAATGAAGCACACTGAGAGCAGATGTATTTTTCTTTGTACCCAGACTGCAAGCATGGATGATTAAGCTTTATTCCACCCTTAATTAGGTCTGCCTTAGTAATTCCAGGGAGCCTCTTAAGAAGATGAACCACAGATTTGTCAAAGGCATCATTCAAACCATAGCCTGAGAGAGAATAGGCACTGAGGTGATAATTAATGGCTCCAATGCTTAGGTTTAAACTAGTTTCATCATGCATGATATCTTTAGTCTCAAAGGTAACCTGCAATGATGAACCACCAAGGTCAAGTGCCCCAAAAGTTGCTTTTTCTGGAACAGATCCGAGTGTACCCATGTGATAATTAAGAGCTATCCATCCATAATAAGCTTCCTCCATGCCAGTGATGATCTTAACCCAGTCTCTCTGGCACAAGAATGATGAATTTTTCAATATAGACCATGCTTCATCAAGAAGCCATTGTGACTCTGAAGTTGGTAGCCTTCGAACTCCAGCTGTTGAATAGAGGAATAGTGAAGTACTCTTATGAGAATGCTTGGGAATTTGCTTCTCTGCCCAGGAAAGAAGTGGTTTTATTGCTGCTTGTAACCCAGATATATTATGGACCAGCTTATCAAGTCCAGGCTCAGTTTCCATTCGACGGTAGGCACGCCCAACTCGTGACATAGATTTTCTTTGATTTCCTTCAGGTAGTGATTTCAAGATGATAGGGAGACTGCTATCTTTCCTGTGAACAATAGATGCCTGATATACAAAAACCCGAGTTCCAGTACTTCCACAATCAAGTACTACATAATATTTTGATGCTTTTTCAGACCAAAAAGTACTAAAATATCTAGCACCTAAAAAGATAAAGAAAAAGAATAAAATCAGGCAAACAATAACCATGGTTGCTCGCACCCATTTCTTCTGTACAAATGGGAATCCTGGTGAGGCCCTCTCCTTTGCAAAACTTGTTTGGATGCTTTCCCTTTGTAGGGGGTGAAGCAATTTTTCTTGAGATGCATCCTGGTTAATTCCAGGATCAAAATCACCTTCTTCGGAATTAAATCTGTACATTGAAAAATCTTGAAGGGATGCAGAAAGTCTCAAATTGTTCCTGTGTCCAGGGATAACTAAATTGGAGTCATTATTTAAAGCTGCAGAAGGCAACAACCTTGCCGTTGCTGATGACGCATTCATAGAATGAGGAGCTACTTTATGACTCATTATAGCAGAAAAGAATTCTGTAATTCTGTCAAATGCCAATGCAATTTTCACTTGCTAGAAAAATTACGCAACTTCATCTTAGAACTTTGATGGTCAAATACAAAGAAACTGAAGTTATAATACTGCCAATCATATCATATATCAGGGATTTGGTGATGAGAACAGAGTTGAAAAATGTTCCACATTTACCCCTTGTCCTCATAGAGTTACCACCAGTTACATATGATGCATGAAACCTGCAATAATTCGATCAAAGAAGCATATTAACAACATAATTAATACAGCTCCCCCTCACTATCAGTCTATCAGACTTATCAGTCATGGAATCTCATTTCAACATTACTCGAAAGAAAATTAGATTGCTGACTTCACTCAGCAAAAAAAACTTTCTTATTTAATTAACCAAATACAAACGAAGATTCAAACCCATGTTCGAGCTCTGTTCCAAAACAAATTGAATACATGTTGATTCCAACCCAGATTACAGATTGATTTCAAGCCAAGTTTCATGTTTCATGCTCGATTTAGAAGTTTGCTTGCAATACAATATCAATCAACATCCACAACTTAGAAGCCAGTTCCACCAAGTTGTTATAAACATAATTTACACTAGAGAGAGAAAGATAAGACAGAGAGGATCAAAGATTGAACGATATTTACATGGATTGCATGAGAAAATCCCAGAAAATAGATAAAAAGAATAAAACCCAGATGGAAATGGCTGAGGGAGAGATACCTCGCGGAGATGAGTTAACCAAAACGAGCTGAGATCTGATCGGATCTGTGTCGATTCGTCGGAATCTGGTTGCCGGGTCAGTAGAAGAATGAAACGAAAATATTTACAAAAAGGAATGAATAAATCTAATACAATATAAGAAAAAAGTGAGTAAATCCTACTAGACACCCCGACTGTTTGTTCTGTGTCCAGTCTCTCCACTTCGACAACTCTTCAGAAGAACTCGGGAATGTCGTTCTCGTGACGAACGTGGTCGTGCCAAGTGATTAGACCGCTGGACCTTTTCCACGGGCGGACAGCCGGACACTTCTGGCTCTGGTCTCTGGACTACCAACCAGAGACGTTAAGTTTGCAGTTTGTTTGCCATCTGATACCACAGAACCAGGACTAGGTTACTAACCTGCTAAGCAAAGCTAGACCATCGATTCCCAAGATTAGAAAAACTGTAGATTGATCAGTTGCATTGAGCACACCAGAAGGAATTTGGGATCGCTTCTCACAAAAGGCGCCTCACACCAACCTCACAGGCACATTCCACTGTGCATTGGAAATATTTCCTGTAAATAATAACACATAAATACGGAGATGCTCGCAATGCACGGTGGAATGTGCCTGTAAGGTCGGTGTGAAGAGCAAATCCGATCACCAGAAGACCTGAACCTGGGGCTCAGGTCTTTATGGGCTAGACCGGGCTTTGAACCTAAGTAATTAATTAAATTTTATATGATATAATATTATAGATTTGAATATTATACCAGAAAACTTGTAACCAATGAATCAATGTCACATTTCAGAATAAAAAAATAAAATAAAATAAAAATCAGTGTCATATAAGTGGTAACCAATCAGGTAGTATTTATCGAAACTCGCAATAATTTTTTTTATTGTTATTAAAAGCTCTTCCATTACCATGTCTTTCGGTCAATGTAGATTTCCCCTAATATGTTATATAGAAAATGCATGATGTCATAAAGATATGATATAAGGAAGGCTTTCATCAGTCAAAACCCCTATAAATTCACTTAATTGGTTACCACTTTTATGATGATGGTTGATTGATTATATTAGTTTTTCTGATATGTCTTTGAGGCATCATAGTTGAACCCTTTTTATATTACGTGATATATAATATGGTTACAAAATATATTATATGATATAATTTATAATATCCATATACATAATATAATATAAAACATGTTGGGTATGATATAATTTATAATATCCAGATACATAATATAATATCCATATACATAATATAATACATAATGTAGGTCTTCCTTTTTCAATAATTGACTACTGTTTATGGTTGGCATTAAGGACTTTCTCCTTTTAGAAACTCCATGTTCATTTGGGCATTTTAACAACAAAAAAGAGATAAGTCCTTAAAATAAGGAATGCCAAATGCAACCTAAGAATGTAAGGGAGTGTTGGGCCCCCTACAAATTTCTAGGTTTAATATGGGCCTTGTGCAAATAGTTGCAAGCTAGGATAAGAATGATCATCCAAATAAATTTACATGGGACCAGTCGCCCAATGGTGCAAACTACATCTACCTATAAGCCACATCAACAGCCCTCTCTTTCTCTCATTTTTCCTTGACGCTCTCTCATTTCTCCCTTATCCCTTCCCAGCCCTTCCATGTAGGCACATGGGAATCCTCTCTTCTTCACTAGAGTCCCACTCCAAATCTCTTTCTCATATTCGCAATCACTTAGCCTAGCCAAACCCCTCTTAAAATTCTTCCAAAACTATCTCTCCCACCTAAAATTCTTCCTAAAACACCTCTTAATATATATTGCCATGTGGCAGCCCTATCTTTTTCACTAGAATTCCACTCCAACTCTTTCTCTCTCTCTCTCTCTCTCTCTCATGTTACTAATCACTAAACAATCTCTCCCATCTAAAATTCCTCCTAAATTTTGTGAAATATTTTTATATTTTCAAAAGTTATTGATATTATTGAATATTATTCAGTAAATATTAACACCTAAACTATAAATTTTCGTAATTTTGGTAATTGAAAATTTTAATTAGTAAGAATTACTTGCTTAAAATTACTATTTTGGTAATTTAATTTCAGGAATTTTTGAAAATTAATTATTGAAACCAATAATTACTAACAAATTAATAATTAATTGAAATATTAATAAATACAAATTTAATAATTAAAAATTATCAGTAATTTTTATCAACAAGTGATTATTGATATTTTCAGTAATTTTAGTCAATTTAATATTTAATGATATTATCAAATAACAATTAAAAAATTTCAGTGATTTTTTAGTGGAAATTTAATTTCAATAAATATAAATTATTTTTTATATTTTTAGTAACTTTGATACTTGCTATAATTTTTTAGCAATAATTAGTGATCGAATTGATCAACCTTAATTTCGGCCCATATACCTAGATAATATTAATGGTTAATATTATGGGCTTTACAAATATTAATTGATTGGATCAATTCTTCCCTACATGTGATGTATGGATGTGTGATGTGCTACGTTCATGGGCCATAAGTACTTGGCCCATGCTGATTCGGTAGTGGCTCTTGCACACACCATGACTGAATGCACATCATTGCCATGGTGTCCCTGCTGGTCATTGGATGACCTCCCTTAGTGGTGAGCCCCACACATCCTGAAGAGGATACGTACGAAACCCTAGCCGATTTGGGCCCACCGAAATCTGGCTTTATGAAAGTCAATGGGAGCCACTTTGGTTTGACCTAAATCAAACTAGGGCGTAATTATTCACTCCCTCTAACAAATATGAGTGCATGTGATAGGGAGATTCATATGATGAACTCTCTAAAGGCCTTCCATCATTAGCATGAGGATGGGTCCTTCAGTAATGAGGAAA